CCTGTTCTTTTTGGGTACTCTTAATTCCAGGTGTGTTTTTTTTTCTTTCAAACAAAAACAAACAAAAAAGGTTTTTTTGGTTTTCTTGCACAGGTGAATGTACGGCTTTCAAAGAAAAATTCATGAAGTGTCTGCAGGCAAATCACTTTGAGAACGGATTGTGCAGACAGGAGTCGAAGGAATACTTAGAATGCCGAATGGAGAGGTGAGAACCACCTTTTCTGCAGAACCTCACTGAGGCTAAGGGATGTTTGGGTCACTTTGCAGGCGCCAGATTGGTGGTCAGGATTTGCTAAATTAGCTCTTCGAATGTCTGTTATCTGCAATCTTGAGATGAGAAGGAAGTTTTGTCTCGTTTTTGCTTTGGTTGGGGATAGAAGCTACAGGTAGTCCTCGCTTAACGACCATTTAGTGGCAGTTCAAAGTTACGACGGCCTCGGAAAAAGTGCTTTACAACCTGTACTCGCACTTATGACTGTTGCAAACTGTCACACCACCCCCTGCGGTCACATGATCGTGATTTGCGACCTTTTTTACAATGGTTATTAAGCATATCACAGCAGTTGTTAAGCAAATCACGTGGTCATTAAGTGAATCCTAGCAAAAAAATCCATTGGGGAAGCTGGGTTCACTTAACGACCACATGATTCTCTTAACGATGGCCTTGCTTAACCAGTTGTGGTTCTTAAGTGAGGACTACTTGTACTCCTTCTGCAAACTGTCCAGAGTCACTGTGAGTTGGGTGGCATATAAATTTGGTTACTACTACTACTACTAATTTAAAAAGCCAACATTACTTGAAGAAATGGAAAGCTGATTGTCTTAGCAAGCTAGGTTCTTTGGCCCCATGTGTTGTGTAGTTGCTGTCTTGTGAATCACTGCCTGCCAACTGTTAAGTGTATTTTTACTTCCAAAAGAACGAGAAATGTGCTAATTGAAAGGAACTGCTGGGGTTTGCAGGAAGCTAAATTCTCTGTCCCATACCACATACAGGAGCTTCTGTGTATGTTCCAGCGTTGTCACACGCACGCGTGGCACTAGTTATAATCCATTGGGGGAGGGGGTGTAACTGCTTTTAGAGAGACTGAATTATTTGGGATTGGAAACCATCGTGGCTAAGCTCGCGGCTTTCACGTCTAACAGCTGACACGTTTTTGTCTGATTTCTTCAAGGCAACTGATGGCCAAAGAGCCGCTGGAAAAACTGGGATTTAAAGACCTAAAGGAAGAGAAATCCGAAGGCCAACCCGAGAAAGTGCAACCAAATCGCTCCTAACTCACGTTTCCCCCCGGAATCTGCAGTCCTACGTACCAGACATTGTTTTGCTTTTCATTTTAAGACAAAGTTATTCTTGAAAAACGTCACAGAAATTCACCAGATAACAGATTTGTACACATTCACTCAGAATGATGGCAGGTTTTGTTTTCCAGATGACCCCATACAGCTTTTGGGTGGTTTTTCCCTTAAAAAGGAAAAGAAGATTGCAGTGCCTTTGGGTAGTATGTTTGAACTCGTGTTGAAACTGGGATTAGGATATTAAAAACTTAAGCCATAATCCAAAGAGATGCTGTTGGATTTTTGTACCCTGGACTGGGTTGCTGTTAAAGGTTTAGCCTACTTTTTCTCTGTGTCCACCTGAGGAATGAGCTGTGCTGGACTCTGGCTGCAACAGAATGTGTATGGGGGTGTTTGTGTACAGGTGGTCCTCGTTTAGCGACTGTCTCATTCAGTGACCGTTCACAGGGACAGCGGTGATGAAAAAGTAAATTTGCAACCAGTCCTCGCATGAATGACCTTTGCAGGTCTGTAAAACAGTGCTTCTCAATCTCAGCAACTTTAAGATGTATGGGCTTCAACTCCGGCTAGGGAATTCTGGAAGTTGAAGTCCATACATCTTAAAGTTGCTGAGATTGAGAAACACTGCAGTAAAGCAAAGGAAAGCTGAAGGAAGACCATATGCACAGCTGCAGTTTCACTTAGTGACCGCCCTGCTTAATGACTGAGTTGCTGGTCCCAATTGTGGTCACTAAACGAGGACAACCTGGATTAAAGACATCTGCATCTGTGAAGCTGCAGGAACGTGTCTTGGGGTCTTTCAGGAGAAGCAGCCCTTTGCGAGATAAATACACTGCAGAAGCAGCTGTGGGGGGGAAAGGGGGGGCAGAACCCTTTCAGACCCACCAACAAGGCATTCTGAAACTATGCAGACCATCTCTGGTCGTTCCTGGGAAAATAAACAACATTTCTTCTTCTCCGCCTATTATGCGGAGAATCCGCTCAAGGCTATCACAGAATCTGCGACGGTGGGAAGAGTCCGGGCGTCACAATGGCTGCCTTTCAACAAGGACGTCTGCTTTGCTGTAACCTGTATAATAAATTAGGAGGAATAGCTAACCCCCTGTCCCGGGTCAGTCAGAAGGAGGGGAGAAGAAACCCAGATGCTCCAGCCGCCTCCTTTCTAACGCGCAAGAATAAGAGCAAATCGGGCGAACAGGCAAACACTTCTCAAAGAATTGGCAGCCGACCCGATCTGTTTTTCCCAGAAGGCGTCCAAGCACCCCCCACCCTCCACCCCCTGCTTTCCTCCTCCAGCGCAGCCACGAGGATGAAGTCAGAAACTCGGGCTGTCTTCCTAAACTAGCCAGGGTTAGTTGGGTCACCCCGTGGTTTTTGTGATCCTGTCTAATTTCCACACCTTTTAATTCAGAGCGGATTTGTTTTAAGGCTGGGGATACAGGAAGAAGGGGGAAATTTAGGAGGAAGGTGTCTCTAAATCTCCCCCCTCCCCTGCATTGTGGGTACTTTTGTGGCAATGCGGGTGCCAAGCCATGGTTAACCCCTAGATCAAATAAAGGGCGAGGGGGGGGGAATAATGCAAGTGAACAAGACAAGAAGTTGAATGTTGTTAAACAGAAATGTTTTGAAAAGTCAGATAAATTGCTGGTGTAGCAGTTGCATAAGGAATGGGGACCCCCCCCCCCCATTTTTTCCTTTTGTATGGGGGCAAAAAAAAATGGTGTGTTCTGATGAAGGTG